TCTCTCTCAAATAAATAAATAAAATCTTAAAAAAAAAAGAGAGATTAAGTCAAAAAGATACATGCACCTCTATGTTTACTGCAGCATTATTTACAATAACCAAAGTATGTCCATCAACAGATGAATGGATGAGGAAGATGTGATATGTACACACGTACACACAGAGAGAAAATATTATGCAGCCATAAAAAAGGATGAGATTTTTGTTTTGTTTTGTTTTGCCATTTGCAAAACATGGATAGACCTAGAGGATATTATGCTAAGTGAAGTAAGTCTGACTGAGAAAGACAAATACCGTATGATTTCACTCATATATGAAACCTAAAAACCAAATAAACAGCTGAATCAGACCTATGAATACAGGAATAAACTGATGATTATCAGAGGAAAGGGGGGTGGGAGGATGGGCAAAATGGGTGAAGGGGGAGAGATACAAGCTTCCAGTTAGAAGTTAACTAAGTCACAGGAATAATAGCCACAACATAGGAAATACAGTCAATGATTTTATAATAGGGATATATGGTGACAGATGATAGCTACACCTGTGGTAACAAGCATAGTATAACATATAGAGAAGTTGAATCACTATGCTGTACATTTGAAAATAACGTAACATTGTGTGTCAATTATACACACACACACACACACAACTATTAAAATGAAAAAAGATCTACCCATGTTTATTAGGTGGATATTCTTAAGTATTCTTAAGTCAGAGATAAAAATAATTTCATAAACATTTACTATAAATTTCTTTAAAAATGAACCACTGAAAGTTAACTTAAAAACAAAAGAATAAAACATAATATTGATTCCCTTTCCCTTTGTCCTTTTTATTTTTTTTAAAGACTTATTTATTTGAGAGAGAGAGAGAGCACAAGCAGGAAGAGCAGAGGGAGAAAGAATCTCAAGTAGACTCTTCGCTGAGTGCAGTGCCCAACACAGGGCTCGATCTCATGACCCAGAGATCATGACCTGAGCTGAAACCAAGAGTAGGATGCTTAACCAACTGTACCACCAGATGCCCCTCCTTTGTCCTTTTTAACCCAAGTGATTTGCTTAAAAAATTAAACAAAAACAAAGTTAAACTAAAATAAGCAATTTAAAAAGATTCATTAGCTAACTACCTACCAGCCACTATACTGAGAATATGAGAATTCAGACTATATGAATGCTAATTTGATAGTATCTATCAAAGTTTAAAGTGTACATGTTCCTAATTTAGGACATGATCTTACAGAAGCATGAATAACTGCTTGAAGAATAAGATATTACTTGCTGAAATGCCTATAATAGTGAAAAGCTGAAATAGTTTAAATGTCCACTGGTAGGGAAATGATTAAACTATGGTATAACCATACATGGAATACAAGGCAGTAGTTAAGAATAATCTACTTGTAATGGCACGCAAAGATAAGAAATTCATGTCATCAAGTTTAAAGGAAAAAGATGACAATACACATCTATAATTCCTTTTCTTTTCTTTTTAAAATTAGTGTTTCTGGAAGGACACATACAATACAACTGGAGAATAGGCAGAGGGAAAATTATCCTAAATGTACTGAATTTTTTTTTTATATTTTTGGTTTTAATTTTATAATTTTGGTTTATTTTGGTATTTAGAAAATAAGTTTCATCGCTATACTAACCACTAATTATGATTTTTTTTCTGGGCTTCCAAGGGTCTCACCTTCAAAAGCATAAAAGACTAGAATAAAGTAAGATATCTAACAACAAAAGAAACTTTTACTTTGATGGTAAAAGTAGTGGAGCCTGAATAAGCTTCATTTTTAAAGAAGTCATTCATCTAACAAATTGCCTCAAACACCTATTCATCTAACATTATTACCTATAATAATTATCTAAGGAGGGGAATGGGGAACTAATTCAACTTCCCACCTAGCAGGAGTTAGTATAGAGTTGGAAGTCCTCTGTAAGAGATCTACTTAGGACTGGAAAAACTTTTACAAATCAAATAACTTATCTGTTCTTCTATTTTTATGTAGTAGGAGAATATCTGCCTGTAAGTATCATAGCATAAATTTCAAAATGAATCTGTGTATGATAACCAAATACCACTGAAAGAAAATTATTTCTACAATTCCAGAAAGGCTTATTTTAATAGTGATTTAAAAAGAATATACATAGCTTTCACATATGGCCTTTAAAAAGGGGGGAAGAGGGAACAAGTTCAAAATAACTGGACCTGCGTTGGTGGTATAGTGGTGAGCATAGCTGCCTTCCAAAATAACTGGACCTATCATTTCCATGAACTAAAATACTTTGAAGACAACAATGAATTTTTTTTGCCTCATTTACAGACAGAGCTACATGGATTCAGGAGAAGGAGGAATTTAAATTGATGACTCAACTTCATGTATTTAGGAAAAAAAGTATACTTACTAAGTGTCAGATGAATAATCTCTAAAACAGAGTTAATTTCTTCCCACACGTAAGGAAGGCCCAATAACTGGCATTCATACCATTTTGAGTTGAACTGCTGACACTTTTTCTAGTTTTCATTTAACTAAAAGCCCTAACAGAATAGAAACTTTCCTCTTCCCTACACTCCCAAGCTTTTCCCCAGAAACTCACTTGAGGATCATATAAAGGAGAATATAATCTATTTATAAATAACATTTTAAAAAGTGAAAACTATATTATCCTCACATGCTTTTACAATTAGAAAAACAGAAGAATAAATACAAAAATGTTAGTTGTACATGATTACAGCTAAGAAAGAACATGTTGAAGACGCAGAGAGCACTGGGTTTAAGGAATACACAAGCTGAGAGCAAGACTTAAATAGTGTAACATGTTCATCTGGGGGCCTTGCACTGAACACTTCTAAAGTCACAGTACACTTTCACACCAAGAAGCACACATAAGGACAGGACTTCCTGGTACCTGCCCTTCAAGGCAGAAGCAAGCAAGTCAACCCTACAGCAAACCATTGTTTGAATATTTACTTTTGGTTGGAGAAGACAGATGTTCCCAAACTACAAAATCTCAGCCTGAATTTTCAGTTCCTATAACCTTATTCACTCCATGAACACTCTATAAAGTACCACCTTTTTACATTTCCAAATGTGGTGTATATACTTTCATATTTCATTTTCCTAAGTCGTTCCTATTTCAATATTAGTGGAAAGAATAAACTGCAAAAAATTACGTTACAGATCAATGAATTCACACAACTCACCTGCACACCTACAGTTTTAATTGGCAACAGGAAGGCATTCAATGAATGCAAACTTGTAATTTGCATCAGCTTCTCCTGATCCTCTTCCGTTGTACAAGCTTTGACTCTTTGTAATAGTGTATGTGGCTGAGAAAACCAAACAGACATTTCTTAAGATTTCAAGAAATAAGGTATTCTTTTGGTATTTATTACTGTCTTATGTATCTACACTTACTGGTTTACAGCAATAGATCCTATTTGATATTTGACTTGTGTGTGCTATGCAGTACATCAGAATTTCACTCCTGAGGGCCAGGGCTATGAGAAGTATCCGGATAAGAAACACAGATTATATTTGTATACTTCGGGGATTTAATCCTGTCAGCAGCAAGGGACATATGTCGCATGAGTTAAACCTTTTCCTTATAATAAAACCTCTTACCATAAAGTCACTTTTGTCTAAAATTAGTATGTCTCCACCAACTTCCCTTTTTTGGTGTATTTGTCTGGTATATGCTCTTCCATTCTTTTACTTTCACTCTTTCTATCCTTAGGTAAACAGGCTGTAATTAGATTTTACTTCTCAATCCAGTTTGACAATCTATGTCATAACTGGAGATGTTAGTCCTTTTAATTAATTGTGGGTTAATAATATGGTTGGATTTCATGCTACCATTTTATTCAGTAGCCTCTATTTGTCCCAGTTTTTAGGTTTCTTTGTCTTTTCTTACATTTTTCTAAACTATTTGTCCCAGCTCATTTATTTCCCTTCTACTGGTTTTGAAGTTAAACCCTGTATTTTTCTTCTTTTAGTAGTTCCCCCTAAGTGTTAACATGGATACTTAACAGAAGAGAATCAATCTCTCTGTCCCCCTAGCAAACAATACAAGTATCTTTGAATGCTTTAACTGCAATCAATTTCCTGTGGCTTATATGCTATTTTAGCTGTATATTGTTATAATATTTTTAAACAAACAAAAATTAGAGATTATTTTTATTATACAGCCCATGTTTGTTTCAGGCTGAGAACCACTGCCTTTAGTTCCTTAAGTAATGGACTGTTAGTAATAAATTCTGTTTATCTAAAAATGTCTTCATTTGCCCTAGTTCTTAGAAGACAGTTCATCTGTTCACTATTCACAATTATTTTCTCATGGCACTCTGAAATCTTCTTGTTTTTCCTGTGCTTTCAGTATAATAGTCTTTCCTTCAAAGGATAAACCATCTTTCTTCTGTAGCTGTTTTGTCTCTGGCAGTCTGCAGTTTTGATAGGGATGCCTACTAGGTGTCAATTTTTTTTTTCATCATCCTAAATGAGATGTGTTACATTTCCTGAATCTGAGCTATGGTGTCTTCACCAGTGTGGACGAATTCAAATACTTTTGTCTATTATCTCCCCCTGGACATATGTTAGAATTGACCTTTTCATTCTGTTTTAACCTCTTCTCTATATATTTTCTCTTTGATGCTTTGTTCCGATTTCTGGAAAATTTCTTAACATCTGTTTTTGAGTTCATTACTTCTTTCTTTAGCTGTTTTTAATTTCAGTTATTTTCATCACTAGAACTTAATTTTTTTCAAAGCTGCCCAAGTCATTTTGATAGTCTTTTACCATATACCTTATTCTCATTATCAACTGCTTCTTTTAATTCTACGTACTTTACACTAACTCCAGTATCTGAAGTGTTTGAGGGTCTTGTGCCAGTTTTTTCCACTAGCTCTCATTCATGTTACCTTACTTCTATATATATTTTTCAATATTTTAAGTTCATATATATTTATTGGAACTGTATATGTGGAGATCTTTTAAGGCCTTAAGACAATCCCAGAAAGAGTTTACATTGCTAAGCCTGACACCTGGAAGCACTACCAACCAAGGTCCGCTTTAAATTCTTAGCTTGAAGTTTTTCAGACCACAAAGATTATAAATTTAGGCACCAACTCTACAGAAGGACTGGGAGACTTTTACATTCATCCTTAGTTTGGAGTAAAAATGTTTTCCCTTATTCTCTTGCAATACATATAAAATATATTTTTTAAAGATTTTAAGTAATTTCCACACCCAACATGGGGCTCAAACTCATGACCCCAAGATCAAGAGTCGCAAGCTCTACCAACTGAGCCAGCCAGGCACCCCTAAAATATTTTTAAACACCCCTTCATATCTAGAATTTTTAGGGATTCAAGGTATCTTATCTGTTGTAAGGCTAAAAAGATAAGTCTACAAGTCTCTGTAGAATATTTTCTGTATAGTCATTTAACATGTTAAATTACCCTAAATTTTAAAAAAATGAAATTCTAATAAATTCATTGTAGATACTAGAGTACTACAAGAATCCATTCAATTCCTTATACTGATGAGCTATGTCTATTTAAAGCTCCTGTAATATACAAATTCAATGCAAATTATTACCTTCTTAACACTTGCAGAAAAATCAGCTACTATTTTCAAAATATTGTTGGTTTCAGGAAAGTCCTTACAAATGTAAGGTTCTTCAGCACATATTACTCTGATTGCCAGGCCAGGACCTAAAAAGAACCATAACAATGGTATTTAATATAAATTTTATATTTAAATATAAAAATACAAGTTTCCAAATATAAAATCCTTCCAAAAATTAAAATCCATTGGTCATTTTAAGGTTTTTCCAGTTTTACTGAGATATAACTGACACATAACCATTGTAAGCTTATTTTTTTTTAAGATTTATCTATTTGAGAGACGGGGAGGGGCAGAGGGAGAAAACCCCAGGCAGACTCCCTGTCAAGAACAGAGACCAACTGGGGGGCTGATCCCACGATCCCGAGACCATGACCCGAGCCGAAACCAAGAGTGGGAGACCCAACCAACTGAGCCCCTCCACTTCAAGTTTTTTTAAGTCTTTTACTTCAAATGTAACTATTAGTTTCCCATCCAACTCACCATTTTTTAGAATGCTTTAGTTCTCTTTACATCAATGATTTCTATCTCCTATTTTTGGTAGCCCATGTATTAAGTGTCACAAAATTCTCCAATAAATATTAATTCACAATATATGCACCCATCTTTTTTAAACTTATTAAAGGAATTTTTAAATATATAGAAAAGTAAAGAGGACAGTGTAATGAACCACCTTATTATTCATCACCCATGTTCAACTACCAATCTAATTTAGGAAGAGGAATATGCTGTTTAAAAAAAAAAAAGTACAACAGTGTTTAATTCCAAAAATGCAAACTGGTATTTCTATTTTACCAAATACTTAAAAGGATGAAAACATAAGGTATGCGTGGATCTAAAAAAAAATGGATTCTGCTTCTTTACTATAACAGAAAAGGTATCCTGTGAGATACTTGGTTATAGACAAAACCTTAGCCATGTTCCATTAATTCCTCAGTTTCATTCTTCATCTGTAGAATAAACAGCTTATTTAAAGTAAGTAGTATGCCTTATTTTTTTAAAAGCACCAAAATATTTTTTACCAAAGAAATCTTACACAATAAAAAAAATCCAATATATAAATAGACTTTTAAAAGTCAAGTGACTCTAGTGCAATGATGACCAAGGACACAGGACCACTTGGCTCCCTCCATTACATTCACACACAATCCTTTGCCAATACACAGGTTAGAGACTGAACATCTTGAATTCCCAGATTTGAAGTTTATTAATACAAATAGCGCTAATCACCACATGAGTTATAGCTTTGTGAGATTGCTTATAAGACCAATATGATATTTAAGAATACAAGTTCTGAGGTGAGACAGTCAGGGCTAGAATCCCAGCTCCAAACCTAATCTGCATTAACTTTTGGCAAATTAGGCTCTGTTCCCAAAATTTCCTCATCTATAAAGCAGAATAATGGTAGTTTTATTGTGAGGATCAAATAAGACAGTTGTAAAATATTTAGCAGAATGCCTAGCACATACTAGTATTTAAGAATTGTTAACTTGGGCGCCTGGGTGGCTCAGTTGGTTAAGCGACTGCCTTCGGCTCAGGTCATGATCCTGGAGTCCCGGGATCGAGTCCCGCATTGGGCTCCCTGCTTGGCAGGGGGTCTGCTTCTCCCTCTGACCCTCTTCCCTCTCGTGCTCTCTGTCTCTCATTCTCTCTCTCTCAAATAAATAAATAAATAAAATCTTTAAAAGAATTGTTAACTTTTACTATGCTTAATTAGACCATTCTCTCGACTCATCACCTAATGACTACTATAAAGAACCAGAAACTGAGGTACAAGACTTACCCAAGCTCAAGAACTTCTAACAAAAACAGTTTAAGACTCTCAGTCCTAACTTTAAATAAATACCACCTTCAGTTAGTTATTTTTCTATATGACAGCAGCAAATGACTATTTAAAATGAGTATTTTTTATTTGTTCATGAATTCGTTACATACAGCCCTATGCAAAGAAGTAATTCATTCAGATAAGTAGTCAACCATAGGATTAGGATTGCAGAGACACGTTTTAACCTTGTCTTCCATGGAAGGCATCATGGTATAGTAGAAAGAACATATAAATTGCAGCTCTAACACTAAGAATTGTATGGCAATGTGGGGTACGTGGGTGGCTCAGTTTAAGCATCTGACTCGATTTCGGCTCAGGTCATGATCTCAGGGTTGTCAAATCAAGCCCCATGTTGGGCTCTGCACTGGGTGTGGAGCCTGCTTAAGATTCTCTCTCCCTATCCCTCTGCCCTTCCCCCTGCTGGCATTCACGCTCACTCTAAAATAAATAAATAAAATCTTAAAAAAAAAAAAAGAATTGTGTGGCAATGTTATTAAAATACCTCTACACCTTGTTTTTCTCATCTGATGGCAACATTATAGGCCAGACTCACTGGGGTGGTGTAATATTTAAATATAAATACAATGGAAAATAATTATGTAAGAAAATGAAGTATATACAATAGATATTAAGAAGAATTTTGTTCCCTACCCACACTTTCCTTTCTCTAAAGTTACATATTCCGAGATAAAAAGTTATTTCAAAACTGTCTGAATTGACTTTTCTTCAACATGAAAGTCTAATGACAAACTGAGCAATTCCTTTTTTTTTTTTTTTTTTTTTACCTGGAAATGGATGCCTGGAAACTAACTCTTCTGGAAGTCCAAGTTCTCTCCCTAAAATTCTTACTTCATCCTTATGAAAATCTTTCAGAGGTTCTATTACTTTTCCCTACAGAGGGAAAAAGCCAATTAATACAAATTAGTAATGAAAATGACATGGAAAATAAAGAATAACATATCATTGGCCTTTCCTGTTGATTTTTTAATCTAAGGTGAAAGACATTTCTTAAAATTTCGTATCTTAAACTATCTTCTCCCATGTGTTCATAAGGAATTAGATGAATATTTTACTGATCTTCGTACTTCTCTTTGAAACACATTTTAAACATAAACCTTTCAAATATAAATAAATCAGAGCAGTCCTACCCACCATCTCTGATCTAGTTCTCATTAGAATACAAGGCAATTAGAAAACATCATACTAGTGTTTCAAAATTAAAGCTCTCCAAATGATACCATGAAGTGAAAAGACAACCTACTCCTATTTGATAAAGGACCTACAGACAACTACTCCTATTTGATAAAGGACCTACAGAGTGTATAAAGAACACTTACAATTCAGTAATAAAAAAATAAATAAACCAATTAAAAATGTGCAAAAAATCTGAATAGATATTTCTAAGAAGATATACAAATGGCCAATAAGCACATGAAAAGATGCTCAACATCATTAGTTTTATTAAGAAAATGCAAATCAAAAGCACAATGAGATACCACTTCACATCCACTAAGATGCCTAAAATAGACAGGTAGTAGCCATCTTAATGAGTGTGAGTTACAAAAAAAAAAAAAGAGAGAGAGAAAATAACAATTGTTGGCAAGGTGTGGAACATTGTTGGTGGATTATAATATGATATAACTGCTTTGGAAACATTAAGAAGTCCCTTTTAAAAATTAAAAATAGAACTACCATGGGGTGCTGGCTGACTCAGTCAGTAGAGCATACAACTCTTAATCCTGGAGTTTTAAATTCAAGCTCCATGCTGAGTGTAGAGATTACTTAAAATCTTACAAAAACAAAACAAACAAAAACTACCATATGATCCAGCAATACTGCTTCTTGTATATAACAAAAAAAACAAAAAACAAAAAACAAAAAACCTGAAAGCAGGGTCTCCAAGAGATATCTGCCAACTCATGTTCATAGCAGCACAATTCACAATAGCCAAAAAGTAGAAGCAACCCAAATGTCCATTAACAGATAAATGGATAAACAAAATGTGTATATACATACAATTATTATTTAGCCTTAAGAAGGAAAGGAAATCCTCTCACATGTTACAACATGGATGAACCTTGAGGACCTATGCTAAATGAAATAAGTCAGTCACAAAAAGACAAATGATTTCACTTTTATAGGATATCTAAAGTAGTCAAATTCATGGAGACAGAAAGTAGAATGGTGGTTACCAGGGGTTGGGAAGAAGAAGAGAGTAGCTGTTGTTCAAGGGATATAAAGTTCCAGTTTTACAAGATGAATAAGTTATGGAGATCTGTGTCACAACAATGCAAATATACTTAATATTACTGAACTATCCATTTAAAAATGGTTCAGGGAGAGGGGGAGGGAGAAAGGCTTTATGGCAAAGTTCTCATAAGCTTTTACCTCTTCTCTCAACTTTCTGATAAGCTCTGTGTCATTGTGATGAGTTTTGATGAGTTCAGCTTTGCCACTTGCAACAAGGGATGCACTTTCAATTAAATCAGGCCGTAAAGTACCTTGGGCAAGGAAAACCTCCTCCGGTTTCAGGTTCATTTCTCCAATTACTTCATTGGCAATCTATAACCAAGAGGAGTAAAACAGCCTTTTAAAGAGATGAATCTTTAAAAAAAGATAGCAAAGTCTTTTTTATTTATACTTTCGACAAGATTTCTCAGAATCCTTTTGCAATACTGACCAAGAGATAAAATCCACACCAACTCCCAAAGTAAACTCTTTTAAGAACATATGCTTTAGAAAGATTCATAAAGATAGGCAAACATTCAAGAGCCTGAAAACTAGCCATTGAAATACTCAAAAGAACTAAAAAGTCTAATATCAACTGAAACACCTATTCTTAAAATAGTTAAAATAAAAGCCTGGCAACATAAGTATATGTATTTTTTAAAAACAAGTCAGTATAATAGTAACATACACTAAAATTCTTAATCAAAAAAAAAAAACAATCAAAATTAGCAAATTTGATTATTTCATATAAGGACAAGGAAAAACAAATACTAAAATTCACATCAAAAATAGTACACATTGTGGATATTAAAAAGGTACCTTAACAAAAGTATCACCAATAATTTTTCTTTTCTCTTCAGGACTTGTTGTCATATTTAATGTTTTGCTAATTCTTTTTCGTGGAGTTCTATCTTCATCTGATATTGGTAGAGTTGTTGTTCCGTTGTAGAAAGAATGAGCAGCATTTATCACTGAGGAAGAGAAGAGAAGCACATTTTAAAACTAACAGAAGATTTTAAAAAACATAAATAATGGGTCAAACTACAGAAAGAAAACCTAGATCGATCTTTTACCTTTTATCTTTTATCTTTTACCTTGGCTACATATTACAGAACTACCAATAAACCACGATTAATAGAGTCCAGACACAGGAACTTACTAAATTTTGTTTTTTTGAGAATCCTGTGGCATTTAGTAATCTAAGGCCATAATATCATACATTATGCTGGTTGCTTTCCTGTATTCAGTGCCCCACCAGAACAACAAGCAAAAGCCAAAGGAAGAAGCATAGCCCCAAGGGAACTAAAAGTAGTGGTTCATATACAGGGATCAAAGTCCTCCAAACTGCACACTGAATTAAACAGTCTCTTGAAAAACTGATGTTTATCAGCATACATTTAGCAATCACTGGCTATCCTTTTATTTTTAAAGAGCAAGGTACTTAAAAACTTACTAAGATCTCTATTTGGTAGTAAGGCTGAACAACTGGTGAACCTCACTGAAATACAGCTGGCTATTTCACTGGGGGACACCAGTGAATTTTAGCTCTTTCTCTTAAACTGGTCAATTGCCCCAGAAAAGACACCTCCAATCTCCTGCCTATCAGCATTCTGATAACGAAACACCAGAAGGCAGGGAGAGAGTCACCATTCAGTATACAGATTTTTGCTTCACCCTACTGTTTCTAATGTAGAATCTTATTTCCACCCTCAACTATGCCTGGTATTGATATGCCCAAATCCAAAGTTTCTTTTATGTAGCCTCTCTAGAGAATAAGTCCACAGTCTTCCCATAGGGAGGGATAGCAGCAATTTATTCCTGTGTTAAGGAAAAGAATCGCCTTCTCAGATTTTCAACCAAACTGTTTTAGGCTCGCCCAGAGAACCACACCCCACAGGGAAGCCAATGTTTACAAATCTTGAGCCTCCCCACAAGTCCTGCTTCTGTTAGTTTCCTCCCCTTAGCAACATTTTACTAGATATGTCTCCTCAGACAAGGGAAAGGAAAGCAAAAATAAAAACTATTGGGACTACATCAAAATAAAAAGCTTTTGCACAACAAAGGAACCCATTAACAAAATGAAAAGGCAACCAACTGAATGGGAGAAGATATTGCAAAGGACATATCTGATAAGAGATTAATATCCAAAATATATAAAGAACTTCTACAACTCAACAGCAAATACACAAATAACCCAATCAAAAAATGGACAGAGGACCTGAAGAGACATTTCTCCAAAGAAGATATACAAAAGGCCAACAGGTACATAGAAAGATGCTCAATATCACTACTTATTAGGGAAATGCAAATTAAAACCACAGTGAGGTATCACCTCATACCTGTTAGAATGGCCATCACCAAAAAGACAAGAGATAATAAATGCTGGCGAGGATGTGGAGAAAAGGGAATCCATGTGCAATGTTGGTAGGATTGTAAATTGGTACACCCACTATAGGAGGGGCTCCTGGGGGGAGGCTCAGTCAGTTAAGTGTCCAACTTGATTTCAGCTCAGGTCATGATCTCAGTGTGGTGAGATTAAGAGTCCCACTCTGGCCTCCATGCTCAGCGTGGAGTTTGCTTGAAATTCTCTCTCCCTCTGTCCCCCGGCCCCGCTCACACTCCCTCTCTCTAAAATAAATAAAATCTTTAAAAAAAACAAGTTTTTGGAGGATCCTCAAAAAATTAAAAATAAAACTACCATGTGATCCAGCAATTCCACTTCTGGAGAGATACCCGAAGGAAATGAAAACACACAAAAAGATATCTGCACTCCCGTATTCATAGTAGCATTATTTGCAATAGTTAAGGTATGGAAACAACCTAAGTGTCCATCAATGTATGAATAAAGATGTAGTATACACACACACACACACACACTGGAAAATTATTCATCCATAAAAAATAAGGAAACCTACCATTTGTGACAACATGCATGGACCTTAAAGGCATTATGTCAAGTGAAATAAGTCAGAGAAAGACAAATACTGTATGATCTCACTTATATGTAGAATCTAAAAAATCAAACTCACAGAAAAAGAGATCAGACTTCTTATCAGAGGTGGAGGGTGAGGAGAAGGGGAATTGGAAGAAGATGGATAAAAGGTACAAACTTCCAGTTACAATATAAATTAAGTACTAAGGCTATACTGTACAACGTGACAATTATAGCTAATACTGCTGGCTGATACATAGAAAAGTTAAGAGTGAATCCTAAGAGTTCACATCATAAAAAGAAAAATATTTTTCCTTTTTATTGTTCCCATATGAGAAGACTGATGTTAGCTGAGACTACTGTGATAATCCTTTCAAAATATATGCAAAATCTAATCATCATGCTGTAGCCTTAAACTTACACAGTGATGTAAGTCAATTATTTCTCATTAAACTAGAAAAAAAAAAGTGACTATGGACTCTTCACTTCTCTTCTCTGTATAAGCCTTTCAGTTTGTAAAATAATCTGTACATCCATATTTATTGTAGGAAGACTTGGAAATTCTCATACATAAATAATATTATGGATGGGAAAAGATAACTCAAAAAGAGTGAACAAGTAGAAGAGAATAGAATGACAGATGGAATTTTATTGATTTTTTTTTATTGATTTGATTTTTTTGGAATTTCTATTGATTTCAGTTTTAAAATTTATCCTAGGACCCCTCTTGAACCAGATAATTATAATGTAAAAGTAAAAAACATAATTATAAGCTTATGGGAAACCTGTACTTGTTTGTTTTTTGTTTTTTTTTAAGATTTGAGAGAGTGTGTGTGCCTGTGTGAGCACACAAGAGCAGGGGGTGGGGTCGGGGGATGGGGCAGAGAGGGAGAGAATCTCAAGCAGGCTCCCCACTCAGTACGGAACAGGAGGCAGGGCTCATTCCCACACCCTTGAGATCATGACCTGAGCCAAAATCAAGAGTCGGACACTCAACTGACTGGGGCACCCAGGCCCCTCTAGAAACCTGTACTTGGTTAAGACAATGAGCTCACTCAAACCATAACGCTAGATCTGATTTGTTAAATAAGTCCTCACATATAGACTTTTCTGGGGGCTCATCAATACCTTTGACCTGAATTCCAAGCTTTTTGAGGGCTTCTTCTACAGACTGGCTTTCTCGTTTTCTCATAAAGCCATTATCAATGTGCACAGCAATGACTTGATCTTGGTTCAAAGCACGATTCAGCAAAGCTGTACAAACCGTTGAGTCTACTCCACCACTGAGTAAAACCTACAAGGTGAAATTAAAAATCAAGTTGAGTACAATAAACAACAAAAAAATAAAAACTATCAGCTTAAATCATTACCTTTAAAAACACTGATTTTATCAAAAGTAGATATGATAATTGAAAAAGCACTCTGAAACAGTGCAACTCACAAAACATCCGATCACCCAGTCAACATTTAAGGGCTATGGTTCTGAAGCCAGCTCTGAGTTCTAGCATTATTGACATAAATTTGTACACTTTCAGATGTAAATTCCTTACCAAAACTTTTGATGTGCCTACTCTTTCTTTGATCTCTCGAATGCACTCAAGTTCTCTGTTCTGCACAGTGAAGGTCCCACTGCACCCAGCTATATCATAGAGGAAATTCTTCAGGATTACTTTCCCATTTTCTGTAAGGCCAACTTCAGGGTGGAACTGTGCTCCGTACAATTTTTTAGATTCATTTGCTATACCTTTAATAGAGAAAATAATCACAAATTAAAAATGTTTTCATGTGGAAGACTCAACTAAGTACCCATAGTAATTCCTCACAATTTCTTCCTCTGTAAATACAAAAACTGATACAACTTAGTGCATTTTTAGCTACAGGGGGGAAATAAATAAATAAATAAATAAAAACTACGTTGCCACAATTTTTCTTTAAAAGTCCTTAGGTAACAATTAGTGCACTATATAGGACAGTGAAATAAGTCCTACAGAGATTACCTCATAGTACTTTCCTTCTCCACCCAGATTACTTTGTCTATTTAATACAATGATAACTCAGTTTTGGCTCTCAGTCCCACACGGCTTTCATATGCAATATACTGCTATCAATTTTATGTATTAGAAAACCTCATGTATTAGGCCTGTCAGAATATTCTATGTATTCCTTTCTTAGATACTATTAACCACAAATGTAACTTCATGGATTTGAGTAATGTGTTTCTGACAAATTATGAATTATTTACTAAGCAGAAGATGATAGGCTACATGTTTTACCTGTGTATGCACTACCCCTGTTTACGGCTCTGAGATATCAAGAAACTTACAGCTGTTTAAGTAGTTAAATCAGGCTGAGCAGGCTCCCAAATTCATACTCATTCTATTATACCACGAAACCTCACATTTTCTTTACTTGGGTTCTAGGACACCACTCTCTCTTGGTTCATTTCTTTCACTGTCTGCTCCTTCTTAATCTTTGTTGTTTCCTCCTCATCTATCCATCTCTACACATGAAAGTTGCCCAGTACACAGCCCTTAAATCTCTCCTCTATACATTGAGTGATCTACAACTCTCATAACTTTACATTTTACCCATATGATGGTAAACCCCCAAATTTATACCTCCAGCTCAATTTTCTACTCTACAGTCTAGACTCCTATATACAACTGCATATTCATACCATTTTTTCTATGTTTAATAAGGCATCTTGAATTTAATCTACAAACTTGAATGACTGCATTCTTTCCTTTCAAGTAAACAGAAACTTCAACTTTCTGGATGGTTGGATCAAAAAACATGGAAGTTAAAACTCAATTATACCCTTTTTTCCCCACTCCAAATGCAATCCAACAGGAACTCCTTAGTCTCTCCATTCAAAACATATCAGAATCCAATCTCATTTAAGAAGATTAAAATCCTATCAAACATCTTTTCCAACCACAATGGTAAGAAACTAGAAATTACAAGAACAAAACTAGAAAATTCACAAATACGTGGAGATTAAAAAACATGCTCCTGACAAAGGAATGGGTCAAAGGATAAATCAAAAGAGGAAAAAAAAAAAAACAAACCCAAGACAAATAAAAATGGAAACATAACACCCAAAACTTATGGGATGTAGCAAAAATAATTCTAAGAGGGAAGTTTATGGCAATTAATAACTACATCAAGAAAAAAAGATCTCAAATAAACCTAGATTCCACCAAAAAAAACTGTTACAACAAATAAACAATTTCAGTAAGGCTGTGGAATAGAAAATCAACATACCAAAGTCAGTTGTGTTTCTATAAGTTAAACTATCAGAGAAATTAAGAAAACATTCCCATTTACAATAGCATCAAAAAGAATAAAATATTTAGGAACAAGCTTAACCAAGGAGGTGAAAGATCTGTATACTTAAAACTCTAAGACAATGATGAAAGAAATTGAAGGCACAAATAAATGAAGAGATATCCTATGTTCATAGATTAGAAGAATATTGTTAAAATGCCCATTCTACCCAAAGCTATATACAGATTCAATTCAATCTCTATCAAAATTCCAATGACTTTTTCATAGAAATAGAAAAAAAGGAATCCTAAAATGTGTATCAAACCACAAAAGACCTCAAAGAGCCAAAGCAATCTTGAGAAAAAAAAGCAAGAGGCATCACATGTCCTGATTTCAAACTACATTACAAAATGACAGTAATCAAAACAGTACTGTACTGGCATAAATACAGACACACAAACCAAGGAAACATACATACACATATATACACACACACATAATATATACACACTAAATGGAGTATTATTCAGCTTTTAAAGAGAAGGAAATCCTGTCATTTGCAACAACACAGATGAACCTGGAGGGCATTAGGCTAAGTGAATTAAGCCAAAGACAAATACTGAATGGTACTGCTTATATGTAGAATCATAAAAAAAATAAAAAGTTGGACTCAGAAATAGAGAATGGAAAAGTGATCACCAGGACCTGGCTGGGGGAAATAGGGAGAGGTGATAAAAGGGTACAAACTTTCAGTTGTAAGATGAATAAAGTCTGAGGACCTAATTAATAATATGGTGACTTATTATGGATAACACTGTATTGTGTAATCTAAATTTGCTAAGAAAACAGAACTTAAATGTTCTCACACACACACAAAAAGGCAAATATGTGAGGTGATGGATGTGTCAATTAATTCCATGGGGGAATCTTTTCATTATGTGTACCTATATTAAATCAGCACATTGTATACTTTATAAATACTTTACAATGTTGTCAATTAATCTTAGTAAAGCTAAAAAATTAAATTAAAAAAAGGTTGAGAGAAGAAAAAAAAACTACCAACCTAGAATTCTGTACCCTGAGAAATTATCCTTCAAAAGTGAAGAAAAATACTTTCTCAGACAAGCAAATATTGAAGCTGTTTGTTGCTGGCACATGGGCCTTGCAAGAACAGATAAAAGAATTTCTTTAGAGAAAAGGAAAATGATAAAGGTCAGAAACTTTAGTCTACATAAAGAAAAGAACATCATTCACAGTTCCTGGCTCACAGATCCCAAAACCTTTGGAATATCTTAAGAGATTAGAGCTTAAAGGTATCTCTCATATTCATAAGGTGACTTTTGGAAAGCACCTAGGATGGGGGCTGGTTACCAGGGGGAGACAACCATGTGATTAGAGACTTGGAACTTTCAGTCCCAACCTCCTAGACTCCGGGGAGGGGAGAGGGGCTGGAAAATGAATCAATTACCAGGAAGCAATGATTTAATCAATCATGCCTATGTAACGAAGCCTCCATAAAAACCCAAAAGGATGACGTTTGGAGAACTTCCAATGAACATGTGCAGTTTGGGGAGAGTGGTGCACTTGGAGAGAGCATGGAAGCTCCGTGTCTTTCCCCATTCTCTGCCCTATAAATCTCTTCCATCTGGCTGTTGCTGAGTTATATCCTTTTATAATAAACCAGGGATCTAGTGGTAAAATGTTTCTCTGAGTTCTGTAAGCCACTCTAGAAAACTAATTGAAACGAGGAAGAGGTCATGAGAACCTCTGATTTACAGCCAGTCAGTAAGAATACAGGTAACCTGGACCTGTGACTGGTGTCTGAAACCCAAGGAGGGGGTCACTAGAACCTCCAATCTATGGTTGTTCAGTCAGAGGCACAGGTGATAACCTCGGCTTGTAACTGGTGTCTGAAGTGTATGTGGGTAGGGAAGGGGGGGTGGTCTTGTGGGATGCAGCCCTCAACCCGTGCAATCTGGTGCTATCTCCAGGTACACGGGGTCAGAATTGAGATGAACTGAGGTGACCGCTCAAATACTATACTGGTGTATAAGAATTGTTTGTTGGTGTAGGAAAAACTCCCCAACTCTCCCCACACACTGGAAATTGCTCTCAAAATACCAAAAGACAGCAAAAACAGTGCTTAGAAGGAAATTTTCAGCACTGAATACATATATTAGGAAAAAAGAGATTTAAATTCCATCGCCTAAACTTCCACCTTAAGAAATGAGAAAAGAGGGGCAAATTATATCCAAAGTAAGCAAAAGAAATAATAAAAATTAAACAAATCAATGAAACTGAAAACAGGAAATCAACAGCAACCACCACCACCACCAACAACAACAACAACAAAACTAAAAGCTGGTTTTTTGAAAAGATCAATAAAATTGGTAAGCCTTTAGCCAGGTTAACTAAGAAAAAGAGAGAGGACACAAATTACTAATGTCAGAAATGAAAGAGGAGACATCACTACAAGTCTCATGGACACTAAAATAATAAAGGAATACTATGACTAACTCTATGTCCACAAATTTTATAACACAGATGAAATGGACCAATTCTTTGAAAGACACGACTTACCAAAACTCACACAAGAAATAGATAATTTGAATAGGCCTCTATCAGTTTTAGAAGTTACATGATCTGATTCAATAGAGAAAGAAAAGGCATCTGAAAAAATCCAACACCCATTCATGACAAAAACTCTCTGTAACTTGGAATATAGGGGAACTTCCTCAACTTTATTATCTTCTAAAAACCTACAGCTAAAATCATACCTAAACAGAAACTCAAAACTTTCCCACTAAGATCAGGAACAAGGCAAGGATGTTCCCTCTCCCCACTGCTTTTCAACACCATATAAAATTCCTAACTGACGCAATAAGAAAAGGAAGTAAAAGGTATACAGGCTGAGAAAGAAAAACTGTCACAGATGACATGATTATCTATATAGAAAATCTGGAAAAAAAATCAACAGAAAAACTCCAGGAACTAGTAAGCAATTACAGTAGGGTTGTAGGATGTAAGGTTAATACACAAAAGTTCACTGCTTTCCTAAATACCAGCAATGAACAAGTGGGATTTGAAATTAAAAACAATTAGCACCCAAATAAATGAAATACTAAGGTATAAATCTAACAAAATATGTACAAGATCTATATGAGAAAACAATCACTCTGGACCACTTCCACCTCTACCACACTATTCCCTACACTACTGTCTCCTCTCCTGATTGCTGCAGTAGATTCCTAGCTGATCTCCCTACTTCTACATTTGACCCTTTCTCTTTTCTCCTCACTATAGCCAAGGTAATCCTGAAATTAGATCATAAGTAAAGCCAACAATTTCATAGTGGCCCCAATGGCCTGTGTCCTGGCCCCCTGACCATCCCTCTAACCTCATCTTCTACCACTCTCCTCCATGCTTACTCTACTCCAACCATGTAGTCTTCCTTGCTGTTCCTCAAACATGGTCCCATCCTGGGAGCTTTGTACTGCTACTTCCTCTTCCCCCCAAATATCCAAAAGGGTCAGCACTTACTTCCTTCATGTTCAGTATCATTTTATAGGAATACCTTCCCTGAATATCCTATATAAAAGAGTAACAACCTTAATCTCACATATTCTGCAACACTCTTCTCTTCCTGTATTTCTTTTCAATGTACTTAAACACTATCTGACACTTGACATATTCTGTATTTGTTTATTAGCTGTCCCATCCCTTCCCCAAACTGGAACGTTAAACAGAGATTTTTGTCCACTTTGTTCATGACTTTACCCTTGGCACCTGGAAATGTTACTGGCACAAAGCACACAAATATTGGTTGAATGAATACAAATACATAAGCCATCTACCACTGTTAATCTTAAGTAAAAACATTTCAATACGAAAACCATTCTGGATCATTCCTATTCTTATGTTAAGTAATTGCAGGCAAATTACTCAATTCAGTTTATCCATGACAAATCTTTTTTCAACTTACTGTTGAGGTACGGCATTTCAAACAAAAAGAACTTTATTGATAAATCCACTTTTTTTTTTTACTGACTTCCAAGATTATTGATAATTATTTACATAACAACTAATCAAATAAGCAAGTCAAAAAAAATCACAAACTGCCAGAAAATCAATTCCTCTTCCTCGAAAAAGCAGAGAATAAAAATGGCTTTAAAGTACAGATTAGCAAAATTTCTACAAAGGGCTAAATCATAAAAATTTTAGGCTCTGTGGAACATATGCATACAGTCCCTGTCTTTTATTATAACCCTTCAATAACATAACAGGCTATAGGCTAGATCTGACCCACAGGTCATAGTTTGCCAACCCTGCCTCAGAGAAATGTCCTGAGTGCTTAGTCTGGTGTTTCACAGATGTCCAAGATATATGCCTATGTACACCTGAGAAAGGCATTTAAAAACCCAATTATGAATAAAGCACACTAGAAAATAGACCATTCTCAAATTTTTCCTGAGCCGTAAAAGTAGTGTTTTACATCTGGAGAACTTTTATTAGAACGAACATTTTTTAAAGTATTTCAGAGCAAACCAGTAAGTGACTTCTAAATAATCTAACACTAAATTCCCTTCATAAATTAATGGTTGATCCTATGACATTTATAGTATCTTTTAAAAATAAAATAAAAAAAATAACAGTACCTCATACAGAAACATATTCTTAGACTCTTTAGAGAAGTTTTTTAAAATGAAATCTGCAAAAGTTTTAAAATTTTCACCTGCCACAATGTTCCCAGAACGTGCCACAACCTTGAATCCATCAGCTACTTTGTCTACACTATCTCCATGAGTAAGCAAAACAATTTCTTCCTTCTGAAGACCCCTAAACATACAAAAAATAAAACACAACACAGAAATATCTTAATTAAAGACATGGTCAATGGGATCTTATGCTTTATTTTTTTCCAGCTTTACTGACATAATTGACATGTAATAGTATGTAAGTTAAAGATGTACAACATGATGATTTGACATATATATATAATGAAATAATTACCACAGTAAGGTTAGTTAACACATACATCACACATCACATAGTTACCATTTTTTTATGTGTATGGGGAGAACATTTAAGATCTACTCTCAGCAACTTTTAAGTATACAAGACAGTTGTTAACTGTAGTCACCATGCCTGAACATTAGATCCCCAGAACTTATTCATCTTACAACTAGTTTGTTCTTTTCCTTTAAAATACTAACTCACCATATGTGGAAATCAATAAAATAGGAAAAAAAAGTATGTAGCAGTGCAACACTGCTAGAATTTAAATTTATTCTGTGCATTATAAATAAAGCCAAATGGAGTATTAAATCTCAAAAAAGGCAATCTGTAAAAATTGAAAACTGAAAAAAATATATTTAAAAGTTGGTGGTATAACCACATGCATAAAAAATTATTTCAAGAAGCTACAAAATAATAATTTCAACATTTTTTCTCTATTAGGATTTATCTTAAGAGAAGGCATTTCAGAGATCTAAACATTCAGTAGTTTTATATCAAAAAGTAAAAGTACTAATACTGATATTGTTATTTTGCAGCTATATATACTGTAAATACATGCATGTTATAGGTTAAAACAAATATTAAATAATTAGGAATTGAGGTTTTCAGCCTCAGAGTAAGGAGATACAAAAATCAAAGTTGTTATAAAACCCCATAAACTTTCATTTTAAATGGAAATAAGAGTATACACGGATTTTGTTTTCTCTAAAAGAATACATATTGACTAAATTTATTCACTGAAAGGGCCTAGAAACAAAGACAACCCAGTAGCAATGTGGACCTCTATTTCTCATGCCAAACACATTAAAGGCATAGGTTAAAGAAGATGTAACATTCATCAAATGCAACATGTGGACTTTCTCTCGACCCTGATTCAAACAAATCAACTATAAAAAGATATTTCTTACATTATGAGAAAATCTGACAGAGGACTGAATATTAAATATTAAGAAGTAAAAAAAAAAAGTAAATTAAAAATAAAGCAAGAAAATAAACTACATTAAAGCCAAATGGATGTTTCAGGTTTACTACTGTTGTCATCGTTGTTGCTTAGGATTAATGTATGTTGTGAATGAGTTCCACAATTTTACAACTAGGAAGACAGACAGAAAACTTTAAATTTTAACGGGATCTTGGGGGGGAAATGGAGGAGGAGACGAACCATGAGAGACTATGGACTCTGAGAAACAAACTGAGGGTTCTAGAGGGGAGAGGAATGGGGGGATGGATTAGCCTGGCGATGGGTACTAAAGAGGGCACGTATTGAATGGAGCACTGGGTGTTATACGCAAACAGTGAATGATGGAACACTACATCAAAAACTAATGATGTAATGTATGGTGACTAACATAATAAAATTTTTTTTTAAATGCAAAAAAAAAATATTTTTTAACCAGATCTTTAGATATAAAGCCTCTGCAGTATCACATACTACCATGATTCCTAAAATGGTTCTCAAGGCTAGTCACTTTAGATCCAGAAGAATGTAAGCAAAACCTCTCCATTATGAAGTGGAGTAAGTGCTAGATTTCAAATGCATTTTGGTAATGAGTAGCTTCAGCTCATAAGATTATTTTGAGCCACCATGGCTTTTTTAATTAATCTTCCTTTGAAAACGAGAATATTCGAACAGATATACTTATTTTTGCTCTTCCTCAAAATTAAAGAGGAGACAGCCATAGCCAGTTTTGTTTATAATCTGGGATATCTCCATTTCAGATAATAAGTTTATAACTTGGATTTTAAAATTTCTGATCTGTCCAATTTGGAGAAAACTATTCATTAGAAATTAATTTAGGCACAAGCATGTTAACAAAACATACCTATAACTAAAAATAATTAGCACAATTAAAAGAAATTATAACAAGAAGTAACTGCATAATGGACAGACTTGAGGAATCACTATGTTGTACACTCGAAACTAATGTTAACACTGTGTCAACTATACTTCAATTATAAATAGATAAAAGTAAATTTCTTGGATTCACACACACACAAAAAGGGGTAGCTGTGACTCACTAAATGACATCAGTTTTATAAATTTTATAGATTTAATGCAGTAAGGGGGAAACGTAGTTTTAAAGTAAAAATGAAATTTAAGGGGCTCCTGGCTGGCTCATTCGGTAGAACATGCAACTCTTGATCTCAGGGTTCTAAGTTTGAGCCCTGTTGGGTGTAGGATTACTTCAAATCTTTTAAAAAAATGAAAAAATAAAAATGAAATTTAAGTCAAAATGAAGCAAGTCAGGGGGCACCTGGCTGGCTCAGTCAACAGAGCATACTACTCTTGATTCTGGGGTTGTGAGTCTGAGCCCCACACTGGGTGCAGAGATTATTTAAAAATTAAAAAAAAGCAAGTGAGTAACCCTATCAACAGTCCCCTAAAATGAGCTTTACCCAAAACATGGAAAACTCCCAAAAAAGAAAGCTTCTGGTCCTCTGGAAAACTGAATGAAAATGCAGCCATGTTTTTTTTAAGTCAAGCAGAAGATAAATGGTTCCAGGAAGGGAGTGAATAGCTCATCCACCAATTTTTAAATAGATTAGAGCTATAGCACCTCATCTGTTGTTACCTAGAACAAAAATCAATTAATACATTCACTATATTAAAAGATAGTATGCTAGGTATAGTTATGCTCAACATAGAGAAAGTGAGCAGGAGGGAAACATAACACATATTTAATAATGAGTCCAACAAATTGGTTGTGTGCTAAGTACCCAGCAAAAACATGAGGGAAGAGATATACAAACACATTTGGTAGATACAAGATAGTTTAAAACATCCATTTGCCACATAGGGCACATTAATGTTTAGAATCACACTCCAAAGAGTAAAAAGGAAAAACTACAAATGTTGGCATTCCCAAACAAGGATCCAAGACTGAACACGTGCTTTTAAGTTATGTCATAAGTGCTTTCCTTACCCCTACTTAGCATCACCACCATCCTCTGCCACCCTGACACTCAAATGGAAAACAAATATGACAGTTACACCTCTGGCCACTAGTATGGCCTTAATTTGTCTTAAGAATGAAGGAATCTCTAATTTTGAAGAATAACAATCCCAAATTTAAGTCAGTTACTCTACTAACTGTTCTTATGCATCTAAAAATATCTACAATACCTGAATAACGAGCATGTGTTGTCCACACTAATACTGAAGACTCCATCTTCTCTAACACTTTTTTTGTGCACAGTACCTCCAAATACCTTATTCATCATCTGTTCAAAGAGAAAATAAATTGACATCAATATGAATCAAAAGAATTACCCAATCATTTTATTATGCTAATTTAATAATTTATATTCCTGTTTTCAGGATATCTGCTGTTTGTGCCCCCAAAATAAAGAGTTAGATAAATGTAGACAGCTTGGTATTATTATATGTAATTATACAGTTATTAAGAGGAATAGTTATAAAACAAAACTAGATTAGAAATCTGACCTGAGGTTAATTTCTATTAAACAGTGGCAGATTTTCCATTTAGTGTATTTTAATTCATTTGTTAAAAATAGATATTTAATACTTACATCTGGGTTTAATTTAAAAGCATTTTAAAAGGTACTCTGAGCTTAGAAAAAGCTAGAGCAGACGAAAGGAAGAGCTTTGGTATTAAAACTAGGCAGGTACAAATTTCTCCAAGTGATTTAACCTTTGGCCCCAAAGGAACAGTCTGAAAGCCTGCAGAAGGCTATGTTGTGGAGAGAGCATAAGCAAGAAAATCTGGTCTTTCAATTAAATTTATTTGTATAAATCCGATACACCTACAAACTCCCCCCCCCAACACCAAATAAACACACACAAAATTTCTACAATCGTTAATTCTGCCTTGATGCAATCACTATGATTCATCTCCGTATATCTGTTTCACACAGTTGTCACAAGATACCTGCCATAACCATGCAAGGTACAAGTTGATCCAGCTCCTGATAAAAAAGCAGGCAGAGGGCTAGTAAGTGTTCATTCGTATAATGCACAGTGGAATAGCCTTCAAAACCATCAGCAAATGCTGCCCTCTACATTCTCCTCTTAAGACATTCACAATAAAGCTTACTGCAATAAAGGTCTGGGTTAAGTTCAGCAGGAAAAAAACTTGCTAACCCATTTAGCCCAGTATTTCCCAAACAAAAAACCCAGGTTATCAAACACTTTCTGCAGCACATTAACTACCACACAGTTTAGGAACACTGCTACAATCTAACCAGTTCCCCTGCCTCTAGTCACTTCTCTTCTTCCCCCTCATTCTGTACTCAAACCATTCAAGCTAGAGTAATTGCCAAAACAGACCATGTTCTCTCCCCCATGTCTTCAGGTCTCTTCACAGTCCCAGGGGCCTAACAAAGTATGTGGCCCAAAGCAGTCATTAAAAGCTTCTGAATGAAAAATTAAGTGCTTTCTTCTATATACTCAGTGAACCTTGTGTACCTCTACTTTCCTTAATTTGCTGTTCTTAATTAGAAGACAGCTGAATGATCAAGATAACTAAAACTGTTGGAACTCAACACAATTTAAAAGTCCACAAAGGTCAATGGGCAAAACTAAATATATTACTTAGGGATATAAACTTATGTATAAAGCTGTAAAGAGAAAAAGGGGAATGAATAACAAAATTCAGGGAAAGTGCTGCCTCTGGTAAGAAAAGAGAACAACATGAATGGAGAAAAGTATAAAGAGAGTTTCAAAAGTTCTACTAATATTCTATTTCTTACGCTGAGTGAGGGGATATAAAGATAAAAGGAGCAATGGGCAAGACAGTCTTTTTTCTTCTAAAGCAAAGAATTCCCAGAAAGCTATTAGAAAGGCTCTCACAAGAGTCCAGTGAATGGGAAAGATGGTACATAAGACACTGAAATAACTAAAATTTCAGGATGCTCTTGGGGGCAAAAGTATACACTAGGGTGAGACCTTTGGTGCTAAACTTACCCAACTAACAATCACTAAGAATTATTAGTCCTTTAAAAACAACATATTAGCTAGATGGTATCATCTATACCAATATTTTATGGAAAGACAATTTCTATCTAAAGGACCAAGATCAGCCTATTCTATTGTCCTAATAAGTAAGTTCAGAGGACATAAAGGCAAATTGTTTTACATATTTAACATGAGCAGGCCTAGCTCTGGCTACCGCAAGATCTCTACTGAATGACAGAAAAATTAGGCCTTACAATTATATGGGGGACTGGCATAAGGGAGAAACAGTCAGTCACTAGCACTTAAGTTAAGGCAGCATTTTCCAGACATATTTCACTATAAGGGGTCCTGAAAAAAAATATCTGTGAGACTCTTCCTTACAGAATGTTATAATACCTCAATATACTAAAAATCATTTAACGTAAGTTGTGCTACATTATTAATACTGACTACTCTGGCATGGGAGATCAATAAATTACGTAAATACATTACATCCAAGAGCAAAGGTATATTAAAAAAAAAAAAAAGCCAGCCAGTTTCCAAAGTTCAACTCAATCAGGATGTAGGCTCTTCTAAGAAAATGTATTCATTAGAATACTATATAAGAAAATCCAAAAGTAAGTTGTTATCCAAGTCAAATTCATAACCACCACTTGGCTTTTCAGAAAACTTTAACAGAACAAAAAGAGCCTTTTACTAGAAAATGCTTGCTTCCTAGAGAAAAAAATATCCATTGTTGTAGCTTTTGAACTTCATACATCACATATTTTTAGGGGTCAGTATTTCCTCTAAATCAAAGTGGAAAACTATAATGAACAATTAGCAAGAAATGAAATCTGGTAAAGCTGTTTTACAGACCAGTGATCCCTAATATTCTGCTTTTGTATCAAGTATAAGAACAACAAAAATATTCATTCTTATGTGAACATTGATTTTTATTGTTTTTTCCTTTGCTGAATGCTCCAGGGCCAGATAAAATATACTGGTCTGCTCACTTTCTACCTTTTAGACAGCCTCCTTCTGTACAATATTCATATTAAAGCACAGCAATTTCAACCAGATTGTTTAATTATTCTTTTTTTTTTAAGGTTTTTATTTATTTATTTCATAGAGAGACAGCGAGAGCGGGAACACAAGCAGGAGTGGGAGAGGGAGAAGCAGGCTTCCAGCCAAGCAGGGAGCCTGCTGCAGGGCTAGATCCCAGGACGCTGGAATCACGACCTGAGCCGGAGGCAGATGCTTAACGACTGAGCCACCCAGGCGCCCCTCAACCAGATTGTTTAAAAAAAAAAAAAACGACTCCCTCTGTTTTGCCCATTACTAAAATTTCAAGTTATCTTCAATCCAAGGACTTAAAACAACTCAGTCATTGGGAGAAAGAACACATCATCTTAAGCCATATATACAAGAAATCAAAAGTTAATAGAGAATTCTCAATAATCAATTAGGGAGGACCAATGTATCATGAGGAAATTAAAAAGCTAATGTTTTAATTAACACCGATTCCATTTGGTCAGTTAGGATCTCACATTAGATATTCCACTTGTATTGTGACCCTGTCTTCCCTTCTGATTTAGTACAGGCTAAAGCCAAAAGGTGGGCAAAAGGGAAAAGAGATCAAGATCATTTATAAACAAGTGAATCCAGTCATTGTATTTATTTGGCTATTCTTATCATAGCAGAGAATTCTGAGTTTAAAAAAAAAAAAAAACTATCTTGCTTCTGACACTAGAAAAGGCAAAATACTATAACATGTCAATTAGTAATTATATTACCCAGGGAATACTATCCCAGCTAGCTCAATTTTCAGATGATGTGGTTAAGTAAGATACATTGTTAAAAGTTAACCTGAACTAGAAAATCATTTTGCTTACAATCACTAGGGATAACTTTTCTTAAATGTATTTATTTCTATTCCCACCTCCTTAGTAAGTAGATCTTATTGAACAAATCATTCTAAGTGAGAACTTAGCATGTTACTGGCTCAGTATTATCTTTCTATCATCTTATTCAGTAATCACATTCTACTTGTCTAATAAACCTATACTCCTCTAAAAAGGTATCAAAGCAGCCAAAATAGATTTCTAAACATTTAACTTATAGAAGAATAGTTTTATATCTAGACCTCAGTCCCTATATATTCTTGTTTTTGATACAATTCCAAGGTATGCATACTCATTAACGATACAGTGGAGACACCTGAAAGACACTGTCTTAACTAAATGATCAAACTGTCATGGCACACACTGACATCACGTGCCTCCTAATGACCTGCTCTGAGAGGAGCAGAGCATTTCTGTGCTACTCCTGCCAAAAGAACAGAACCTGAACCTAACAATGAGGAAACATCAAATAAACCAAAACTGAGGGAGAATCTATAAAGTAAATGGAATGTCTTTTTTTTTTTTTTTTTTTAAACTGTCGAGGTCATGAAAGAGAAGAAAAGACTGAGGAATGGTTCCAAAATAAAGGACATGACAACTAAATATAACACATGGTCCTAGATTGGACACAGTACTTACAAGGGATATTAATGAGACAAACAATGAAATGTGAATGCAGTCTGTGGATTAGATGCAAAACTGAATCAGTGTTAACTTCCTGATTTTGATATTTGGACTGTAGTTACATAGGAGAGCGCTCTCATCCTTAGGAAATACAACAAGTAACAGGACATAATGTGTGCAACTTACTCTCAAATAGTTAAAAATGTCAACAGTAAGAGGGGCACCTGGGTGGCTCAGTTGGTTAAGCATCCGACTCTTGATTTTGCCTCAGGTCATGATCTCGGGGCTCAGAGTCATGGGATCAAGCCTCCCCCCCCTCCCCCGGAACTCTGTGCTCAGCATGGAGTCTGCTTGAGATTCTCTCACTCTCCCTTCCGCCCCTCCCCTGGCTCATGCACGCATGCAGGCATGCTATCTCTAAACTAAATAAATCATTTTAAAAATGTCAACAATAAGGGAATTGAGTAAAAATATAAATGAGCTCTGTGTACTATTTCTGTAACATGTAAATTTGAATGTCTAAATTTTTTTTAATGGACAGTGTTATGTTGTATTCAGTAGTATAGTTACTTCTCTAAAAACAGATTTCCACTCAGGTCGGTTCTGCCATACTGCTATAACAATTTGTAAACAGTCGCAACATGCACAAATTAACTCATACAATATCCTAAATACTCTAAAGACAGAAAATATTAGTACAATAAGAATCACAAACAGAATAAATTAAGTCAACTCTTAAGGCAAATTCACAGATGTACCTGCATGCCATAGCAAATTCCAAGAACAGGCTTGCCAATAGTGAATATCGCTGGATCAAACCAGGGAGCATCTTCTGCATACACAGAATTAGGTCCTCCAGAGATGATAATAGCACTGTGGATTTAAGGAAGAGAGTCAGTGAAGAATCCTCTAACTGCTAATTTTTATCCCGAAGTCCATGCCCTCTCTCCCTTGAAGCACTGAGACTCAGTACAGATGCAGAGATTTTGTTATGTTTTCAGTACCGTGGCAGATCCAGCCTCCTACACAGCTCAATCATCTGTACTCTACTGAAATGTGTGAAAGTCCATCAATTCAACATTCACTTGTTAATAAGTACAAACTTCAAATACATAAATACTAATGTTTCTAGCTGTAAAGGTTTAGCATGAGTTTGTTTTGTCTTCCACATTAATGAAGGAGTAAATGAGAATTCTAAAGGGAGATGGAGAAAATATAGGTCTTCCAGGAAGCAAGGAGTAAAGCAAGTCACAGAAAGACCCTAGATGACACAGCAAAATACAACAAAGGAGGACAGAATATGAATAATAACCTAACTTTGCCTGTTGAAAACCTATCCAACGTTCCCAACAATTTTACCTGAGACCCAGGAAAGGGAGCTAACATATGAATTTTGCCCATATGGCATTCTCTCAGAACCCAGGTTAATATTATAATTTCACTATATTATAATTTACAGAGCATTCGATGGGTTAACTTGGGAGTCGAACAGTTATTATGGAAAAGGCTGCAAACTGAGGCCTATGCTCTTCACCTGGCCAGTGATAGATCTAATTTGGCCCTCAGCATACACTCAAAAGATTGAGAACATTTTAATATTAAGAATTTTACATAAAAATCCAGATTTCTGGGTTTTCTTTAGGAAGAGGGGAAAAAAAAAATCTAGCAGCACTTGACCTTCACTCTCATATGGCTACAAACAACTGGAATCACAGAGAGACCTGCACCTTCAGACTACTCCTGCTTCCCAGTTTGCCACACATGCCCTCTTATACAATAGAGGCATACCTATGCTCATCACTTAATCTAAGGTATCCTCAAACTCATTTTAGGTTTGAGTTTTGCAGGAATCCTGATTTATCTACATTTCTAAAGGAAAATGCATTTTAAGATCTAACCAAAATCTTCTTACAAATTTAGGCAATTCACTTTGTAATTAGCAGCTGCTTGCCATATAAAAACACACAAACTAAAATACAGGCTTATAATACATCCAGAAGAATGATATAATAGTCAAATTCATAAAAATTATTCAGCAAGACAGGACATTTTTAAAAAATATAACAATTCAAGTGAGCTCAAAGGCCCCATTCTTTGAACTTTGTATTGCTAACATGAATTATGCTATTCATCATATTTGTTAGCCTGTCTCCTGCAAAAGAGACTAAAGACAACCAACTCAGATGATAAATGTAACATCTTTAAGATAACAATCCTAAAGGGGTGTAGCGTTAGCCTTAAGGGTAGATACGCAACTTAGCTCTTTAAAAATGCATAAGTTAAAATTCTATAAAACATAAATAAACAAGCCCTCTAGAATTTCAGTACATTATACTTAGTTTTATAAAAGATAACCACCATGGGACTGCCCAGCATTTCTCATTAATCTGCTAAACAACTCATGACTGTAAGATTCTTAAGACTATTAAAAAGAAAAGGGAATGGACTTAGTCAAGGATGAAACCTAAGCAGTACTTAAGCCAATTATGAAAATTCTTATCTCAATAACTCTCAAGAAGAGCTAATCACTCAGTCTTCTAGTTCTACCCTGCAATTATTTTGAAACTAACTTGCAATTACAAAGCCAATAAGTCACAAGGCATTCCAGATACCAATTTTAAGCAGGTCAGATTTCCAAAAACAAGTAGGTTAAGAGGTCTTTCCTCTCATAATATTAATATTCTAGGAAAAGGATGATCAACTAGATAGCAGACAGGATTATAATAAGCAAAGCCACAGGGCTATAGTTCCTATACTCCTACACAGAAAGAACCTCTAGACACAAGCAGGACCTAGGAATTGTTTATAATCAGGTGGCAGGAAAAATAATTAGCATTCTATTGCCAAGTATTTGGCTACCCTATTTTTTTTTTTTTAAGATTTTATTTATTTATTTGACAGAGAGAGACACAGTGAGAGAGGGAACACAAGCTGGGGGAGTGGGAGAGGGAAAAGCAGGCTTCCCGCCGAGCCAGGAGCCTGATGCGGGACTCGATCCCAGGACCCTGGGATCATGACCTGAGCCGAAGGCAGACACTTAACGACTGAGCCACCCAGGCGCCCCCAGCTACCCTATTCTTAAACATTTAGCCTGGGTTAGTCTGCTGGAGACTTTCTGTTTGTTTGGGGTGAAGGGAATGAAGGAGCTTAGTTATGACAGAGAGACATTTAGAATTCTCACACAGTTTTTTGATTCCCTAAAACTGGTTCTCACTGGCAAACTGACACAGTCACGTTAGAGAAACTCAAGGGTCCCTTCTTATTCTAAAAATTCTACAGTTTGAAAAGAGATGACTGGGGCGCCTGGGTGGCTCAGTCGTTGGGCATCTGCGTTCGGCTCAGGTCATGATCCCAGAGTCCTGGGATTGAGCCCCGCATCGGGCTCCCTGCTCAGCGGGAAGCCTGCTTCTCCCTCTCCCACTCCCCCTGCTTGCGTTCCCTCTCTCGCTGTGTCTTTCTCTGTCAAATAAATAAATAAAATCTTTTTTTAAATAAATAAATAAAAAGAGATGACTGTTTTTAACTGTATCCTAAGACTAGGACAGTTAAATTTCAACCTGTCTTTTCTGCTTTCCAATTCACTCTATTTTAGAAACAAGAATCACAGGATAAACAGGTCTATGAAGACTTTAAAAGTTAATCATTTCTCTAATGGAAAAAAATTATGCTTTTGAGAAAAATTAAACATATTGTATTTTGGAAGAAATATAGCATTAATGTTTAAGACCCAATTAAAGTTACAAACTGCAGTTGTTTGCTTTTGGTAACACTCTTAATAAACAAAGACCATCAATTCCATGAGAAAAGGCATAGCATTAACCAGAAATTGTTAAAGGAAGAAACAAATATAAGTTGGCTGTCATTTTGACTAGTTCTGAGCATAAAAGCTGTTGAATTAGACCTTATATTAGACTTGAGAAACCTTCATATTTTAGAAACTCAGTCTCTTGCGATAGGAGGCAAAAGAGACTCATTGGACACAGAATTCTTCTCATTTAGGTATTCTAGCCACTGTATATATTCCTTTGATCAAACGCTCGGGGATGAATGAATGACCATAATAGCCAAATTCAAGTCTGACCCAAAAATCCTTAAAAAAAAAAAAAAATATTCAAATGAAAAATTCTTGTAACTGTGCAATTAAAATTAAGGCAATCTTTTTAACTAAAAATTATTTTTCCTTTAATTTTTTAAAAATCAGAACCAGGGGCGCCTGGGTGGCTCAGTCGTTAAGCATCTGCCTTTGGGTCAGGTCATGATCCCAGGGTCCTGGGATCGAGCCCCGCATCGGGCTCCCTGCTCCGTGGGGGGCCTGCTTCTCCCTCTCCCTCTCCTGCTGCTTGTGTTCCCTCTCTGTGTCGCTCTCTGTCAAATAAATAAATAAAAATAAAATCTTTAAAAATCAGAACCACAGAAAAAAACTTTTTGTAAAACCACTGCATGTCTTATATTCATTTAAAAAAATTCAGTGCCCAGGGCACCTGGGTGGTGTAGTCGTTTAAGTGTCTGACTCTTGGTTTCAGCTCAGGTAGTGATCTAATGGTCCTGAGACAGAGCCCCAGGTCGGGCTCCGCACTCAGCATGGAGTCAGCTTAAGACTCTCTCTCCCTCTCTGCCCCACCACCTCTCCCCCAACCCCAAACACTCCCTCGCTCTCTCAAAATATATCTTTAAAAAAAAATTCAGTGCCCAAGCAAATTAATAAAAAATTCCACAATCTAAGCTCAATCTCATAGAAAATACAAGTGTAAGGTCTACCGGAATCCTTGCTCTTTTATGGCAAATGCTGGTGTTTCCAAGGGAAAGATTTCCGACTGCACGAACAGTTCTCTCACTCTTCGATCTATGACTTTCCCGTACTGGGCACCAGCATCCAGAATGACAACAGCTCCTTCATAGTGGTGGCGGCCATCCTTAAGGTCTCCTCCAGCATTCTCCAGCTGCAAATATTAAGGCAAATGTCCTCTTAGTTATAAAAATTAGAGCTCCTTTAAAAAAGAGTGGTCACTGTCAGCTCCAAAAACATACAGAAGCAAAAACTGTTAACTTAGGCCTCTGAGTTGCCAATTCAAAAGCACTTCTTTTAAAAGGAAGATTTTTATACATACCCATACGTGGGCATACATAAACACTTTAATAAAAGCCAGCATTTACTGTGTAATATAGTCACTTTACATATAAATGCATCTTATATATATTATCTAACATGGTGGACATACAACCCAGCTGTGCCAAAATATAGTCCTAGTTTATGCCTGTTATACTGGCATTATTACTAAGAGGGCCTCCTGTGAATCTCAAAAGCATCCTAGCTTGAACAATAAATAATATGGTCACCCTATCTAACAGTCACAGTATTCCTATGAGGGATATACTGATGAAGAACTTAAAGTTTGCTGCCAGAGTATAAGCATGCTCAAATTCACTTCATTAGGATTTTTTGTATTACATGAGGAAACGGTTATATATAGATGCATCCAACCCATAACATTAGAATTTTAAAAAGGTTTTTTAATCTTATTTCTGTCACCTATATATTGATAATGCTTTTCTGGAAAGCAATTTGACAAAATGCAAAATTTTTAACTATGTATGCTGGAATAGTTACTTGGAACTGGCTTCAGATTAATGTAAGAGTAGGTGGGTATGGATGAAACAAGATTGCTTGCCTATGCACTGAAATCACTTTAGTTGAATGATACACAGTCTTCATTTTAGTCTAGTCTCTATTCTGTTTTTGTACATTTTATATAAGAAAAAAACTTTAAGGGTGCCTGGGTGGCTCAGTCGTTAAGCGTCTGCCTTCGGCTCAGGTCATGATCCCAGGGTCCTGGGATCAGGCCCCACATCGGGCTCCCTGCTCGGCGGGAAGCCTGCTTCTCCCTCTCCCACTCTCCCTGCTTGTGTTCCCTCTCTCGCTGTCTCTCTCTGTGAAGTAAATAAATAAAATCTAAAAAAAGAAAAAAACTTTAAAAACATGTATGTACTCTGGAAAAACACTTGTAGGATGCATATAATCCCATTTTAAAATATTTCATCAAGAATGTATATACATGTATGAAGAAGAAACACAGAGACAGATACACACAAAAATACTAACAGAGGTTGTATCCAAGTAATGAGCTACAGGTGATTTACAATTTTTCTCATACTCTTCAGTATGGTTTTTTTTGTTTCTTTTTTTTTTTTAATTTTATTTTATTATGTTATGTTAATCACCATACATTACATCATTAGTTTTTGATGTAGTGTTCCATGATTCATTGTTTGCATATAACACCCAGTGCTCCATTCAATACGTGCCCTCTTTAATACCCATCACCAGGCCAACCCATCCCACCAGCCCCCTCCCCTCTAGAACCCTCAGTTTGTTTCTCAGAGTCCATAGTCTCTCATGATTCGTCTCCCCCTCCGATTTCACCCTCTTCATTTTTCCCTTCCTGCTATCTTCTTCCTCTTTTTTTTTTTTCTTAACATATAATGTATTATTTGTTTCAGAGGTACAGGTCTGTGATTCATCAGTCTTACACAATTCACAGCGCTCACCATAGCACATACCCTCCCCGATGTCTATCACCCAGCCACCCCATCCCTCCTACCCCCCACCACTCCAGCAACCCTCAGTTTGTTTCCTGAGATTAAGAATTCCTCATATCAGTGAGATCATATGATACATGTCTTCTTCAGTATGTTTTAAATGTTTACAATAAACATTTTTGGAGTTTTCCCCCCTCCAGCTGTAAAATTTGCACATAAAAAAGCATAAGCCAGTCCTTCAGACACTTATGTAATTCTTTCCATGCCTCTTCCTTTTCCCTTTATATGAAAAAACAAAAGACCTCACAACATCACTAACACTTCTGCTACAGTAATGAAAAAAGCCAACAATCACAGCCATCTACAGAGGAGGATTTGTGAGAAGGACCGACCACAGGCCAGAAAGAATTACTCAGATCACAAAAATGAAGATTTTAATCATATGAATACTGAACAATGTAGAAAAAGCAGAATACAGAAAGTTTATAAAATATATTAGAGTGCAAGAAATACTAAAATTTTTTCCTTTTAGACCTTTGCCCTTAGTCCACACACAAACATACATACTACTCTTTAAAGAATTTATCTAAAATTCCTTAAAGAATTTATCTAAAATTCTTTAATCTTAACCTATTTTTTTTGTAAAGAATAGAAAGTGTTGGGGCGCCTGGATGGCTCAGTCAGTTAAGCGTCTGACTCTTAATCTCAGCTCAGGTCTTCATTTCAGGGTCGTGAGTTCAAGTCCTGCATGGAGCTCCAAGCCCAGTGGGAAGCCTACTTAAAAAAAGAAGGGGGGAAGGGGGGAGGGGAGCAGAGCAAAGAAAGAAAAGTTTTGGGGCACCTGGCTGGTTTGGTCGATGGAGCGCATGACTCTTAATCTCTTGGTTGTGAGTTTGAGTTCCATGTTGGCTGTAGAGATTACTTAAAAATAAAAATCTTTTTAAAAAAGTGTTTTTGAAGGACTACTTTGTTATTGTGTAAATTTCTCAGATTTCAGTCCCCTTATCACTGTCAAAATTTTTACCAAATCCAGTACAACCTGTTTTGTTTTTTTTTAACACTGCAGGCAGAGTTCTCACTTTCCATGATTCTGACAAGCATAAATTTCAGTTATCATGGTTTAGTTAACTAACATCAGTCTGCAATAACATGGCTCAAATTTCAGTTACCATAATTAGCTGTGAGAAATTACATTAAGTACAAACTTCGCTGTCAGCTCTTCAATCCATAAATCACATTAATAACAAATATGATGATCACTGACCGATGTGTCCCTTCTTTTAAAGTTTATTGCAATTGGACAGTGCAAAACAAATAGCTAGAGTACAGTTGTGTTACCTCCTTATTGCCCAGTAATAAATCCACATGACATTTTACAGGGAGCCTGCTTCTCCCTCTGCTCCTTATCCCACTCATGCTCTCTCTCTCTCTCAAAAGTAAATAAACAAAATCTTTTAAAAAAAGAAAGAAACTCTTGGAGGTATTTCATGACATTTCAATTGTAAAGGATAAAATGTCAAAAGCCAAGGAGGCACAGAAAAGATGCAAAGGGAAACACTGTTTTAAGGCATAGAAAAGATGCAAAGGGAAAGACTGTTTAAACTACTCTTGATTCATATTTCACAAAGAAAACAATTCTCATTGTGTCTAATGTTTTAACTTATACTAAACAGTTATAGTATTTTATTTCTCTATACTTGTATAATTAACAGTAAGATTTAATGTTTTAACAAAATATTTTAAAGGTCCCCAAACCACTGTAATCTTCACACTGAATAAAACTGCTTTGCATAAGGACCACCTGGGTACCTCAGTCAGTTAGGCATCAGATTCTTTTTTTTTTAAGATTTTATTATTTATTTATTTATTTATTTATTTATTTATTTATTTATTTATTTGACAGAGAGAGAGAGTATGCACAAGCAGGGGAAGCAGCAGAGAGAGAGGGAGAAGCAGGATCCCTGTAGAGCAGGGAGCCCGATGCGGGGCTTGATCCTAGGACCCTAGGATCATGACCTGAGCCAAAGGCAGACGCTTAACCAACTGAGCCACCCAGGTGCCTCTAAGCATCCAAATCTTGATTTCAGCTCAGGTCATGATGTCAGGGTGGTGAGAATGAATCCCTCAATAGGCTCTGCGCTGGGCATGGAGCCTGCCTGAGATTTTCGGGGTGCCTGGATGGCTCAGTCCATTACACATCGGACTCCTGGTGTCCGTCCGCGCAGGTCATTATCTCATGGGTCTTGAGATCAAGCTTGAGTCAGGCTCCACACTCAGGGAGGAGTCTCCTAAAGATTCTCTCCCTCTACCCCTCCCCCAACTCTTCTGTATGTGTGCACATGCATGCATTCTCTCTAAAAAAAAAAAGAAATAAATTACTTCGCATGGTTTCAGCTTGCACAATCATTTCTATGGTTGTCCTACTATTATATAGTGAGGACTGTCTGTATTTCTTTAAATCAACTCATTTTTACTTAATTGAATTTTAAAAGAAAAATGTATACTGTTTTCTTATCAGCTTTTGAAAATATTCAATCATATGATATCAGAGGTCATTGAGGAAATACTGAATCCTTGACTCATTCTTTCTACCTCAGCTATCAACTTGCCTATCCAGCACAAACTTCAACAACTCAGGGGAAAGCAAAAAGGTCACCAGTAACGTAAGCAAAAGTTCCTTTCCCTCAAAACCTAGACTCTATTTACTCCTACTTCACAGAGTTATAAAGTATGATAGACTTCCAAACCTTAACAGATTAGAAAAAGGACCCTAATGAGAAAAGAAGCTGTTAGTCACATCAATAGTAGAGACAAATAAAACTCAACAGTACACAACAGAAAAATCTATTACATCTATTTATACAATTAAAAAATAAACACAGAGACGCCTGGCTGGCTCAGTCTTAGGGTGTGTGACTCTTAATCTTAGGGTGTAGAGGCTACCTAAAAATAAAATCCTTAAAAGAAAAAGAAAAAGAAACACAAATGCCTAAAAGGTTCACATCCCTCTAAACTGACTTGAGGTCATCATAATAAAGTAAATGATGTTCATAAAGATATCTTTTAAGACATCAATAAATGATATTAAGGAAACAATCAAACCATATCAGTACCCTAATTTAACAATAAAGCAAAATAATCTGGCAGATTCTCATAAGATGAAGATGGTATCATTTTTGGATCTTCCTGAATTTCCATGTATCACTGAACAGCAAAACCAAAAACTAAATGACAAGTTATCTCCCCAAATAGAAGCTGGTAGGAATAAACTACCATAGTCACAAACTCTAGTGTAACAGCATTTGTGGGGGAAACAACCGAGTTTCACTGAATAACTTGAGAACAGACTTCCAAGATAGCCAAAAAGGTACTCACTAAAAACCACAGGGGTCAGGAGCACGTG